AGGCTTGCATCCTTCAGTGCTCAGATTTGTTATTTCCTTCTGTAAAATCCATCCATTATTATCTCTCCACCTTCATCCTCACCAGGGTGGTGGGGGGCTGGAGTCTATCCCAGCTGACTCAGGGTGAAGGCAGGTTCACCTGGACAGGTCGCCAGTCCATCGCAGGGCTACACTTAGAGACAGACAACCAAGCACACTCACATTCACACCTACGGACAATCTAGAATCACCAATTAACCTCAGTATGTTTCTGGACTGTGGGAAGAAGCCGGAGAACCCGGAGAGAACCCGCGCAGCACGGGGAGAACATGGAGACTCCACGTAGAAAGATCCCGGGTGTCCTCACCGGGACACGAACCGGCAACCTTCAACAGTGCTAACCAACTGCGCCACCTTGCAGCCCCTAAATGAACCAATTTTCTTTAAAAACAAAACAAAACAAAACAAACAAAAAAAAAAAGTGATGTATTGAGCCTGGCTACAACATCAATGTTTTTATTTATTTTTATTTTATTGTGGTCACTTCAGCTGTTTGTACTTTCCTGCTTCGTTTCTTTCTTTCTTTATTCTTATTTTCCTGACGAACGCAAAACCCTTAATTTGACCCCCTAAACACGCTCAAAAACTCACTAAAATTGGCATGCACGTCCGAATCGGCGAAAAATTTGATAAAATGAAAAAAACAAACAAGAAAAGGCTCTCTAGCGCCACCTAGTTACAGAAAAACACACTAAAACGGCCCTAGCGGCCAGTAGGAATGTCTTACAGAGATCAAACCAACACCAAAACGTTCGTCTCAATGGGACCCACAAATCTCGTGCTGACACCCCTGACCTATCTTCAACCGGAAGTCCGCAATTTGCCTTTCAAAGTAAGAAAATGAGAAAAAACATCTTTTGGGAAAAAATTATCCTGTCTGACACCGTAAATCGTATCAACTTGAAACTCGCACAGGAGACAGAGAAGGCCTTGATGTACAGAAGTTCTGAAGGGATTTGGCGTTTCTCAACCGGTTTTCGAATGGCGAGCCGTTAAAGTTGATGAGCTGTCGCAGCCTCGGCTCAAACTTTGTATGGCTGTCTATGGGACATGTGCCGACATGCTGTGACATTTGGTCATCTACACAAAAAACTAAATGTCCTACAGCTTTAAAAATGACAGTGAGGGCTTCCTAGCAAGATTTCCCACAAAAATATGCTGTTTTTACACACATTTGGTGAAAATTGTGGCTGTATGGGAGAGAGAAAGTAGGTAAAACTCTCTCAGTGGGGGGCATGCAGAACGATGACATCATCACAGCTCAGTGCAGCTGGTCATGTGACTCACTGACAGGCTGAGCAGAGACACAAACATAGCTCCTTCACCTTAAAGCAGGTGTTACTTGAAGAACGGTCAGACGGGCATGAGGTTGCAGCGCGGACCAAGGATCCGACAAACGCTGCTTGCAGCTTAAATTAACTTTAGCCGACGCTAGCCGCTGCTAGGTCACCAGCTAGCTTAAACTGAGTTTAGCATCGATGTTTAGAACTGAACATCTAATATTTCACACGATGTTGTTTCGAAATTAATTAATCTTAAAGGAGTGATGGATTTTTTTTCTGTTAAAACAAACGTCTTAACTGGTATTAACGAGCTAAATTTAGACAAAAATAAGTAGTTTTAGCAAGTTCCCGTCTGAACTTGGTGTATAGTTCAAAGACCGTGAGCTTTTTTTGGTGAATGGAATTTGTTTGGAATTTTTTACGCATTTTGATAAATTTTTGAAAATGACATCGACATTTTGGAGCACAAAATCTTGATTTAAACGGCAATCTGGTATAATTTGAAGGTTTAAATGACCGCAGTTGGGGAAACGAGGTGGGGACCGGCTCTCGTACAGAACCGTCGGCCGTGCTGCTGTCCTGCGGTCCGTGAAGGCGCCACGGTTCACCACTGTGTGGCTGCAGATCCGCGGTCCGCAGGATGAGGAGCGGCGGGGATGCTGCTACCTCCTGTCCACCGCTCACACACTCGGTTCCTCGGTCGGTGTGAAGGGAAGCAGCCGCAGCCATGGCCTCGGACAGTAAGTAGGACCGCCTGCTGCCGTGTGACGCCGCTGTTTTAACCGGGGATGAAGGCTGTTTGCGGGCTGTGCTGGTTTATTTTGGCTGCTTGGGAGCGTCAGGATGTGTAGGCCAGTTCGCCCTCACATCATCCAGCTCTGTGGCTTCTGCTCAGGAGCCACACTATGACCGATTTAGAGCCTTCAGCAGCCACCACGTCAACAATATTCGTGTTATTTCTTCAGTTTCGCTGCAGGAATCTGTGGCTGTCGCTGCAGAGTTGATAGTTGCCTCATCATGGCCACTTCATGGACGCCTCTTTTTCCTGTTTCCTGCTCAGTCCTGCTCTCCTGAACACTGACAGTCATTTGGCAAAATACATATCAGTGTGTGTTCTCTCATTATGCCTCAGGCCGGCTGACAACCGGGTCGCTTTTTATAACCTCAGTGATGCAGTGAAAGCAGCTTTTTTAAACAGACATATTTACGTCCCTAAAAATGATGCAAAACGACCAGATTAAATGCTAAATATGACACACAGAATACTACACAGCGAGAGTGTTTATTTTGCTACTAAGTCAGATTTTGAATGCAAGAAAATGTTTGCTAAATAGATTTTTTTTTAAAGGAAAAAAAAAAGAATAAATCTGCGTGAAATAAATTTTCATGTGCTGCAACTGAAGTTTTTGGGGCCCTTTAAAGGTGTTTTATTTTCTTAAGGCGGTTGAATTCAGTGTTTTTTAAGCGTTTATTCTGTCAGCAGGTCTTTCTAAATCCTAAGACGTGAGCAAACAGCAGACGAACCCACCAAGACAAATGTCATCCCGTGTTTGATGAGTCTTGTTGGTTGAACTTCTTAACCTGCAGCGATCAGCAGGACGTCCAGGTGATTGTGAGAGCGGTTTAACGCAGCATCAGGAAGCTCAGCAGATCCACACTGTCCACAGGAGGCTGGGACAGCTTCAGGATGAGCTCCTCCAGCAGACACCTTGGTCACAGCTTCGGCTCAGAGTCGGTGTTGGTGTTCACCTGGAGGCTTTAGGTCCCATATTTACTCGTTTTAGCTTCACGTTACTGATTGACACGGTCATAAATGAACAGCCAACAATTTCTTTTAACCGACAAGTTATCGAAACCAAGCTCATAGTGCCGCCCATCATTCCTCAGTTCTAGTGTTGAAACATTTTGTGTGTCTTTGTGGTGTTTCTGCGTCTGCTGTTGGTCATTTTGTGTCTCATTGTGGTGGTTTTGCATCTAATTTTGGTAATTTTGTGTGTGTTTGAGGTCATTTTGTGTGTCTTGCTGGTGGTTTTGCATCTGTTTGTGCTCATTTTGCGTCTCTTTGTGGTGTTTTGCATCTATTTTGCATCTGTTTTGCATCTAGTTTTGCTCACTTTGTGCTTCTTTGTGGTCATTTTGTGTCTCTTTGTGATTGTTTTGCGTCTGTTTTTGGACACTTTGTGTGTCTTTGTGGTAGTTTTGCATCTATTTTTGCTCGTTTTGTGTCTGTTTGTGGTCACTTTGTGCTTCTTTGTGGTCATTTTGTGTCTCTTTGTGATTGTTTTGCGTCTGTTTTTGGACATTTTGTGTGTCTTTGTGGTAGTTTTGCATCTATTTTTGCTCGTTTTGTGTCTGTTTGTGGTGGTTTTGGATCTATTTTTGGTAATTTTGTGTGTCTTTGTGATGGGTTTGCATTTGTTTTGGGTCATTTGAGTGTCTTCCTGGCTGTCCCGTATCATTTTAGGGTTTCTTGCGTTGTTTTGTGATAACTTTGTGGTGATTTTGTCTGTTTTTGTTTTTTTGGTCATTTTTTTGTGTCTTCAGGGTTGTTATGCATCTCTTCTTAGTCATTTTGTGTCTATTTGTGATTGTTTTGCATCTGTTTTTGGACATTTTGTGTGTCTTTCTGGTGGGTTGTAACTGTTGTGTGTTATTTTGTGCCTATTTGTGGTGGTTTTCCGTCAGTTTTTGATGATTTTGTCTTGCTTTGTGGTTATTTTATGTCTCTTTGTGGTTGTTTTGGCTTTTAGTGGTCATTTGTGTGTCTCTGGTCATTTTGAACGTCTTTGTGGTCAGTTTGCCTTATTTTGTGGTCAGTTTGTGTCTTTCTCGGGCCATTTTGTCTCTCTGTGGTCATTTTTGAATAATTTTATGGTAAATTTGTGTCTCTCTCTGCTCATTTTGTGTGTCTCTATGTTCATTTTGTGTCTCTTTGTGGTTGTTTTGCATCTATTTTTGGTCATTTTGTTTGTCCTTGTGGTCAGTTTGTGTCTCTTCTGGGTTATTTTGTATCATTTTTTAGTCATTTTGTGTTTAAGCCTCTGGTCATTTTATGTCTCTTATGCGTTTTGTGTCGATTTGTGATCAATTTGTGTTGCTTTGTGGTCACTTTAAATCTCTTTGTACTTGTTTTGTGTCTTTCTTGTGTCATTTTATCTCTCTGCGGTCATTTTCGTATGATTTTGTGCGATTTTTGTGTCTCTGTGGTTATTTAGGCTTTTTGTGGTCATTTGGTGTCTTATTTGTGTCTCTTTGTGGTCAGTTTGCATTACTTTGTGGTCATTGTTTCCTCTCTCTGGCCATTCTGTGTAGTTTTGTGGTTGTTTTATGTGTCTTCGTGGTTGTTTTGAATCTTTCCTTGATCATTTTTTAACACAAAAAACAACTGAAAACTGATCCAAAGGTACAGTGACAGGCAGTAACATCACAAAAACATGAATAAAATGTCCAACAAGCATAAAACTGTACTGACACACTAATAAAATAATTAATAACAATCATTTAATAACGTCGTTCTTTATTTAAAATGGATTCTGACACTATAATCTTGCTAATAACCCCGATATCTGAGTTTTTTAAAATGTTGTTTTAGCATTCAGGTACTTCTCGAGCCTTTAACCTGCGAACTTATCGCCCCCGCTCTTATTTTCCGAGCTACAACTTTAAAGCAGAACTTTTCAATCCTGGTTTTCTTGCTCCGCGGTGCGTTCACTGTCCCCGCCTTCCTCCGTGTTGTTGAGTCCTGGTCAGGAAATCCGCCTCGCCCAGCGGGAGGCAGGAAAGCGGCGCTGAGTGACGCCTCGCCCTGGAGACAAAGCCGAGGTTATGAGACGGAGGGACGAAGGAGAGAGTTCAGGACAGACGGAGGCGAGGAAGGTTAACGGGAGGAAGAGGAGGGAAGAATGGAAGCAGCGAGCACTGAAGCTGAGCGAGACAGTAGGTCCACCAGAGTTTACCGCTTTCAACCGGAGCTCAGGAAGAGTTTTATCTTCTGAGGGTTGAATCAGAGAAACGTTGGTCAAAGTTAAGTTCTTCATTTTACTGTGAGAGAGCAATAATTAATAATCAATAAGACCCTGAAACCGAACGACACACGTTTGTGGTCATTTTGCAAACATTCTGCATCTCTTTGTGGTTGTTTCGTGTCTATTTGTTGTTTTGTCGTCTCTCCTTTTGGTCATTTTGTGTTTCTTTGTCGTCATTTTGCACCTCTGTGGCGGCTTTGTGTTAACTTTGCTCATCGTGTCTCTTTGCGATGCTTTTGTGTCTGTTTGCGGTCACTTTGCGTTGTTGTTTTTTTTAGTCATTTGGTTGACTCCATCCAGAGCTCTGAGATGAGTTACACCGATGTGATTCATTAGTGTTTTTGTTTTTGCGCGTCGTGCAAAACGCCCGAATAGAGACAAGAGCAAAAAAAAAAGACGGTAACAACGGAGGAAAGATGAGATCAGACGCGTTATTTAAAGCTTTTATTCGTTGTTTTTGTTCCTGTAGCACAAAACAGAGACAGATACAAACACTCAAGATAATACTAATACAAATATTCATTTTTTGGGAACATGTGCTCCTAAACCCGGATGTCAGACAGAAGTCCACCTGAGACCCACCTCAAGGACGTTGGACTCTAAAGAATGAATCCAGTGTTCTTCATCGGTTTTGTGGGGTTTTTTTTGTTTGCTTCAAACCTCCACCTGTGAGTCTCTGCACACGTTTAGCAGCTGCACCTGTTTGTCGTCTTGTTGTTGTTGTTGTTACGCAGCTCTTCACCAGCAGGTGGCGCCGCGATGCCACGATTGTAAAGCGACAGAATCTCTCCGGCCGTTTTATTTAACAGATGAATGATGGTGAAGGTTTAAATGCTGCATTTCATCACGTCCAACTGCAGACGGTTCGTAGGTGATTCTAAACGAAATACTCGGCGTTCAAGTGAAATAAAATATTGATATCTGAGGATTAAATAAGGATTCTGCACATGGTGATCAAACTGCTTCCGAATTTGACTAGAATATGGGCTGATGTTGCATTTTTTTAAAAAAATAAAATTTTTTGGGCTTTTGCCTTTATTTAGAGCAGTGGAGAGAGACAGGAAAGGGGGGAGAAGAGTGAGGGAGAGACCTGCAGCAAAGGGTCGTGAGCGGGATTCGAACTCACAACCGCTGCGTCGGGGACTGTAGCCCCTGTTCATGGGTCGCCCACTCAACCAGGTGAGCTATACGGGCGCCCTGATGTTGCATTTTTAAAGCTGAATAACAAGCTTTTTTCTCAAATATGACCTCCATAGTCAATAAAATAGCAGGATGCTCAGTAAAATATAATACAAAGTGTGTTTTAATGAGTGTGTTTACTGTAAATACTTCTGGTTTATAGCAACAGTTTGGTTTGGCCTCAAAAGGTCAAATACATGGTAAAAAAAAAAAACTGTTAGGGTTAGCGTCTTGTTTTGTCCACAACTCAGATATTTATTTTATTGTCTCAACTGAGGACAGAAACCAGAAAATATTCACACTTCAGAAGCTGCAGTCACAGAGTTTATTTACTGATTTTGCTTCGATGCATTCAGGTGCCACCTGAGGAGCAAATACCAACAGATGCATCTGCAGTTCATCAAATATGCATCAAACGGTCGGATCGAGATGACAAAATGTGTTTAATGTGGGAGCTGCTCTGTGCACTTCAGCCAAATCATCACAAAATATTCGTCTCGTGTCTGTTGGTCACAGCTGAGCTATTAATTGTTTTT